AATGGCTGTTTAGAATTAAGCATGAATCTGATTCTGTTAGATATAAAGCTAGGCTTGTAGCTAAAGGTTTTACTCAAAGAGAGGGTATAGACTATACTGAAATCTTTGCTCCTGTTGTTAAATTCACCACTGTCAGAATTTTGCTTGCCTTAGTTGCTCATTTTGATTGGGAACTTAAGCAAATGGATGTTAAAACTGCTTTCTTACATGGTGATCTTGATAAGCAAATTTTCATGTCTCAACCCGAAGGATTTGTTGATCCTGATAAACCTGATTATGTTTGTTTGTTGAAGAAATCTCTGTATGGCCTTAAACAGTCTCCTAGGCAGTGGAACAAAAAATTTGACTCATGCATGCTCTCTTTGAAATTTAAAAGAAGTGAATTTGATCCTTGCTTGTATTTCAAAGATGACTGTCAATCACCTGTGTTCCTATTGATCTATGTTGATGATATGCTTATTGCTAGTCCCTGTTTAAAGGCTATTGATCATGTTAATAAATGCTTAAGTGAAAACTTTGACATGAAATTTCTTGGTGACTCTAAGAGAATTCTGGGAATGGACATAATCAGGAATAGGAAAGATTGTTCTTTGTTTCTGAACCAATCTGCCTATGTTGAAAAGATTTTAGATAAATTTGCCATGAAAAATGCCAAGTCTGTGTCTGTGCCTCTTGCTGCTCATTTCTTGCTAAGTAAGGAACAGTCCCCAAAGACTGAACCTGAAATCTGTGATATGAAATCTGTTCCTTATGCAAATGCAATTGGCTCTATAATGTATTTAATGGTAAGTACTAGGCCTGACATTGCATATGCTGTTAGCTGTTTGAGTAGATATATGGCCAATCCTGGCATGCCTCATTGGGAGGCTGTGAAATGGCTAATGAGATATCTAAGAGGATCTGCTAGAACAGGGATTGAATTTTCTAGGTGTGAAAAAGGAATTGAATTATGTGGTTATGTGGATTCTAATTATGCTAATAACAGAGATAATAGGAAGTCCACCACATCTTATGTGTTTACTTTGTGTGGTTCTTGTATTTGCTGGAAATCTCAACTTCAGAACATTGTAGCCCTTTCTACCACAGAGGCTGAATACATTGCAGCCACAGAGGCTATAAAAGAATCTCTCTGGTTGAAAGGGCTGCTCTCAGAAATTGGGTTCTTGAAAGGTAAAGTTGTTGTTTTTTCTGACAGCCAATCAGGTATACAATTGTGCAAGAACCCTGTCTTTCATGACAGAACAAAACACATTGAGATCAAATACCACTTCATCCGGAAAGTGGTGAAAAAAGGTGTGATAGACCTGGAGAAAATTCCTTCTGAATTCAACCCTGCTGACATGGGCACTAAGTGCCTGCCTGTGGAAAAATTGAGATCATGTTTGAGAATCTTGAACATTGTCTCAAAAACTGATTGAAATCAGACATGTGTTTGTCTGCTTGCTTTGTGCAAGTCTGTTGATGCTTTCTGTGTGATTGCTTGTTTTAATTCGTTTTGTCTTAACTTCTTTGTGATGTTAATTGTTGGTTTTATCTTGGTGATTACCTCCTGTGTGGAAAAAATACTGTGTGAATCTTCTACTACAATCTATGTGATTAGTGTTCAAGATTCACAGTTACGGCAATGATGATCCCATTCCATTAAGTGTGTTTCATACTAATCCTTTTATTGGTCTCAGGTGGAGAATTGTTAAGTATTGAGCCCAATAATATGATCTGTTGTGATCTGGGCCAATGACTTATCTTATTCACAGCCCAACTTGTGAAATTGGGCCCAACAGTACTTAAGCCCACTGATCCAGTCAACTTTGATCTGAACCGTTTAATCTAGGGCTTCAATCTGAGCCCTCCCTTTTTCCCCTTTCCTCTTACCAACTCAACCCTAGCAGCATTTCCACTGCTGCGCCGTTCCCTCTCTCCTCTCCTGTCCCCCTCTCTCTCTACAGTACTTCGTCACCCCTTGTCGTTTTCCGGCAACACCGTCGCAGGTCTTGCCGGACAATGGGTGTCCTTGCCGTCACAGCACAATTAATGCTGAGGACCGTTGAAACTGTGTGTATATATACTGTGGTGAGAGAGAGAGATAGGTATGATTCACCTTTTATTCAAACCTGTCCATTTCTGACCTTAATCCTCTGCTGTGAGGGTTTTGGTGTTGAGTTTGCAGAATACTGGGTTTGTGCTGAGTGGAGAGGGTGAGTTATCACCGAGTTGACTGTGCATGTGTTGGTGAGTCAACTCGGAGTGAGGTTTTGGGGTCAGATCTAGGGTTCCGATCAGTGGCTGTACTTTGGTGCTTGTTTTCAGTTGGTGTTACCACCAGACCTTGGATAAATTGGATGAACACTGGAAAAGGGAACTGAGCCGTTCATATATCAATATACATTTTAATTCTCATTTCCAGTTGTTCTTGTGTTTTCTACGGATCCATGGCTGTTTTGGAAAGAACTTGTACCTGACAAATTAGTAGTTAAGAATTTTGGGAAAATTATAACTAAAATACCGTCGACGTTAAGGTAAATTAAAATTTTCGGCCTAAAGTCTTTTTGAAAATAGTCATAGAAAATTAAATAATGATACGTAACACTTGTTTAAATATAACAAAATAAAAAAGTAATGTACTATTTCAACTTACTAGAAGTTTTGAAGTTAGGAATATGCAATGTAGACTATTAAAAATTGAGAAGTATAATCTTGGAACAATAAAAAAAATGGATAGAAAAACTCAATATCTAACTAATTATAATTGATTTAAGATATTTCATTCACATTAAATGCAAGAATAAGTGTAAAAAATTCAACACATACGTAAACTATGTAAAATAATATAGCTATGGTTATTCAAATTGTTGAACTATTTATAAAGGATAAAAAACATTATTTGGGGGCCTAATTTTATCTAAAAATCGGGAGTCTTCATTTTTTTCAAAAATTGGGAGCTAGGCGACCGCTTGTTTCGCCTACAGTCAGATCGGCCCTGACTGAAGCTAGTTTAATAATTACATGAAAATTGAAACAATTAACGAAATATATATTTGACCAAACCTCATTAGGAGAGTTGGTACCTAAGCCTTACCAATAGGGTAATGGTCTAGGGTTCGAGTCTCCCCCTCTCCTACTTCCCCTTGTAATGGACTTGAATTTACTAAAAAAATATATATATAAATTAAACGACCATAATTCCATAATATAAAATATAAATGGAATGTGAAAAAATAAATAAATAAATATAATATAAACCCGAAAATTTAACCCAATCTAACGTGGTGCAGTGTGCAGTTGCACAAAGATAGAATACTGCAATAAATCTCTGTGAATCATTTTCTCAAACACGTAGAGGGCATCAATCATTCAGTCTGTCGTCTGTAGCTCTGTTTGTTAAATCCGAGCACGACACCCTAAGTGTGTAGAGTACTTTCACTCACTCGAGACACCAACCAAAACCCACCTCATATTTTCGAAAATTCCGTTGTTCCAATATTAGATTTTTTTTTTTTTTTTTTTTTTCACTTTTTGTTTTGCAGTGTGATTGTATAATTTGTCCATTGAAAAATCAGTTTGCTAGAAATGGAAAAAGATTTAACAGAGGAGGGTTTCTCTCTCTCACGCTATCAGAGATTCTTTTTTTTTTTTTTACCTGACTTTTTACAGAAAGTAAAACAGCTTTTGCTTATAGATTGGCATCAGTTGATCACCTTCTTCTTCTTTATTGGTTACTCATTCATACTTAAACTTTATTCCTACAATCTGGGTTGTCTGTTTCTTTTTCTGCTATATTTAACTCTTTAGCTTTCCCTCTGCAATTCTCGGTAGGTGGTGGGTTTGTCTCTACCAATTACTTCTATACGGACATTGGAATATATGCAATTTCAGTTTTCTATTTTAATTTTAGAAAATAATTCCGAAATTTAAAAATAAAAAATAAAAATTAGTATCATATTTTATAATATCAATATTATTATGTGATTTGTGTTGTAGGTGAATAAGAAAATAGATTTTTTTTCTAATTCTACCGACTCGACAGCTTCGATTTTGGATCAAGTTTTTTCGTTCTAATTAAATAAAGGGTAAATTATGGCCACCTCTGGGTAGGGGCGGTAAACGAGCCGAGCTGACTCATGCTCGAAAAAAGCTCGAACTCGAACTTGAGTTTTTCGAGCTCGAACCAGTTTTTAGTTGTTCGTAAGTTCACGAGCCGGCTCGCGAGCCTTATTTATTATATTTTTTTAATATATTATTTTTTATTTAAATAATGTATGATATAAAGTATTATAGAGATAAATAAAAATAAAATATAAATATTAAAAAATATATATAATTACAATTTATTGTTTATTTTGTAATTTTTTTTTAAATAATTTTTAATAATAATTAAAAAATATTAAAAATAAAAAAAAATCGAAACAAAATGAGCCGGGCTCGAGCTCGACCTCGAGCAAAAAAAGAACGAACTCGACGAGCTCGAGCTCGAGCCTGCCAAAAAAGGCGAGCTCGACTCGTTTACACCCCTACCTCTGGGGCAGAGTAAGGTCGAAAAGACCCCTCTTGTTTTGTTAATTACAAGCAATCAAGCATCCCTACACTATGAATCTTCTTATACTTCAATTCTTGCGGTATCAA